ACTCAGATACACATCCCTCACCAAGTTTGATTCTTTGAGATCTGTCAAACAAAAAGTCAATAACCCAATTAATACGCTATTTGGCACGTATAACTTACATAATTTCTTTATAAGGATGCTATGGTCAATTAAATCAAAGGCCTTACGATAATCAAACAAAATAGTTCTTATAGTAGCACCATTCCAGTCGGTGCCCTCAGACCAAACATGAAGCATGTCCAGTAAAGCGAAGGTGGTCGAAGACCTTGGTACCGCGCCATACTGATTCATATCGAGATTATCAAGAACGGCAGGCATGATGTAATCGCGTACCACGAACTCCTTTGCCACCTTCGAGATACATGGAGTGAGTGAGATGGGTCTAAGTTTTTCTTTAGGATTTGCACGAGTTTTTTCTTAGGAAGCGGGGTTACATCAGCCAATTTCCACGAAAGAGGTAGGCGTTGCTCTTTAAACGATGCGTTGAGAATTTTGCATACAGGAAAAGCAATAAGATCGGCATATTCAAGCCGAAACCAATTAGGAATCCTGTCAGGACCACATGATTTAAATGGATTAAGTTTTGATAGTGTTTTCCAAACACGTTCTTCGGATACTTCTAGGAACTCCGGGAGATTTTTTTTTTTTTTTCTCTCCCAGGAATCTGTTGAAAGATATTCTAATATTTGACTGGGGCAGCCATGGTAGTGTTTGACACTTTGAATGTGTTCCCTTAGCACGTTTTGTTTTGGTGTCGCATCGTTGTCGATGTTTTCAGATTTCAGTTACATGGAAAGAGGTTGCAACGATGTGAAGGAAAGAGAGAAATTTAATCAAACAAGCTGTTCAAAACTTATCGTTATTATATCATCGTCTAATTGGTTTTTTATTTCTTGGCGACACTGTGGTTTTCTTTTTTTTGGCATCTTAGTCAAGAGGAGAAAAAGGAGAAAATTTCAGTGCTGTTATTGTTATTTATTTTCAGCGAGATGTACAATCTACGCAAGTGTCTGAACATTTGTTGATAGTGACACAGCCACGGACTGGGATGAACACAAAAAGCTTAACGAAACGTGAAAAGTTCCTGGTTGGCGTAATAGTCTTACTTCTTTCCTTGTTTGTTATTATGGCAATGGTCTTGGGGTTTCTGTACGCAAAGAAAGCTCACACAGACTCACAGAGTAAAAAGAAAAGCACTACATCCTACCCATGCGTAACAAGAGATTGCGTTTTTACTTCTTCAGGTAACTTGGCAAAGGTTTCTTTATAACCAAGAAATATAATCCATCGCTCAAAAGAATAAATACTGACCGCCGTCATTTGTGATTTTTGCCTAGAGCAAAGTTGCACAATAACCGTGACTGCCCTAAATCTTCTACGGCCTTCATGATCTCTGAATTATCATATGACCAATGATCTTTCTTCCCCCGTTCTATTGTTTGCAGACCTATTTAATTTCTTAGATCCCAACGTCGATCCTTGTGAGGACTTTTACATGTACGCATGTGGAGGATGGATAAAGAAAAACCCGCTTCCTGATCAGAAGGAAGAATGGAATCAATTTACCAAATTGGAGGAGGAAAGTAGTCAGTTTGTCAGAGCCATCCTGCATAGTAAAGAGACGCAAGCTGAATATTCTAGGGTGAGTTCGTATCAGGTAATTGCTGTCCCCGTAATTTCAGTCTTGATATACGTGTAAGGAAATTTCTTTTCCTTCTGGCGTGCGATCTGTGTGTCTATCCTAACACTTTATGATTAGAAATTATATACAAGGGAAAACGAAAGATGCTAAAAATAATAAAGAAAAGGTACGTAAGTTAAAGAGAGAAACTGAATTTATTTGTGACCAAGAGTTTGGATAATCTCTTTCAAACGGAATCATTATGAAGCATATGTTAATAATCGGCACAAATGCGATAAGTTATTTAAAAAGACGAGCATATATATATATATCTTATTAACCAAGCGCGAGGGCCGTATTGGGAGAATATCGGCCCGAGGTCTTGACAGTACGGACCGAGCGCAGCGAGGTCCGTACAAAAAGGACCGAGGGCCGATATTCTTCCAGTACGGTCCCGAGTAAGCTTGGTTAATAAGAGATTTATTATACGACTGAAGTTCAAAGGGACACAGGTGCGGTATCATTCGGGACCATTCGGGACAGTGCTCGGTCCAATACTTAGAGAATATTGGACCGGCAATAGAGCATTTTGATTGGTTGATTTTAGTTATTGGCCCTCTGACTGCCCGAGTCGTGTAATAAATATATATATATATATTTTTTTTCAATTTTTTTTTAAGCTTTCGTCCTTCATGAAAGGGATAGCTTACTTTAAGTCGTGTTTGGATACAAAGGAACAGAACAGAAGAGGAACCAAGCCGTTGGATGATTTGATAAAGGAATATGGATCTTGGACTTTGACTACAGACGACTGGAAGGAAGAATCATGGGACATGATAAAATATCTTGCGTTAATGAGAAGAAAACTGTCCTTAGGACCCCTGTTTACTGTGTTTGTAGGCGCTGATCCACGGAAGAGTAGCGTCAATATCATCCAAGTAAGCTCAGTGAAACGAAAGTTAAATCTGGTAGCATGTAGTTTTGACTTTACTTGTCATGATCTAATTTAAATTTCTTCCCCGACGAACTCATGAGAAAGGGACTGGTAGTGGCCACAAGCATCGGTAATTAATTACGCACGTAAAGGTTTGTGGTTTTGGAGTTTCCATTGGGAAAGGGAATGTGAGTCAATTCAGCCGGTCAACTCCGCCAATTACTTGCTGGGGAGAGAGGCCAAGGTAAAAGTGGGCATAGCAATCATATACGTACGTACAAACGAGAAATCAGAAACATGTACTTTTAACTCTTGAGTTCAGCATTTGTTACTGGTCCTTTGCATGTAATATTGGGAAAGTGTCTTCCGTGTAGTAAAAATTAGACATCACAAACAGTACTCGATACAATGCTGAAGTTCAAAACGAGCCTCTACGGTATTTACACGGACTTCAGGATACGCCCTGGGTTCCAGGCGGAGTCAGTCCTGTGTTCATCTTGATATTGTTATCGTGGTTTATTTTTTACATCAGGGATAGCTTCTTCCAAGGTTTTAAGTTGCCCTATCCTGAAATAAACCTACACATCCTCCACTTTGTATTATCCAGTATCCTAATATTACTTATTTCACTTCAATCTTTTTCCTTTGTCAATTATCTTTCAAAATGACACTTTCTATTCTCACGTCACTTTTGATTTTAGATAAGACCGTTAGCCCTTTTGGGTATCTCACAACACCGTTTAACTTCTAATACCACCTATGGAATTAAGGTACGTTTATCTCGATTGAAAGTCATGAAAAAAATTGAAACTCACCGTTGCAACGTTTCCTTCTTTTCTTTCACTGCTTATTGGTTCGTCTTTCAAAGAAAGACCACCCAGCTAAGGTACTGATAGTGATCTAAATTTCAAACAAAATTGTTAGCAATTCAGAACTCGCGTATCATTTTCCTAGTTTGCTAAATCATTAAAGCATTTCTCAACTTGCAACTTTTTTCGATGAAAAAAATGTTTCGAGACCAGTCAGGTCATGTATGTAGTGCAGTAGAAGACACTACTAAAAACTTCAAGTGAAACCAATTACCCTGTGGTTAGCTTAAAAGGTTAGAGGCCTGAGGAGTTGACAAAGCAAAAACATCAAATTGTCTTAGATATCTACTGGAGGTTTGAGTTTTTTCCTCAGTCCATCGGGCCGTAAACACTGATGGGAAGATAAGGTCGACAGTTAGTGCTCTTAAATTCACTTACGACAATAGAAAGGTCGATACTTACATGGTAAGCGCAACATTCTATGCTGTTGGGAATAGTCTTAAAATGTAACTACATATTTTGACCCATTGCTGTTAAAGGAGTCCCAAATAGTTTTCCAAAGTGTAACTCCATCGACACCAAAAAGAGGTTTTACTCTGTAGAACGGCAACGAAGCATGCTCGTAAGTTACCAAGGATGTTTGTACAATGGAAATTGTCACATTGTTTCACTAAAGAATTTTGTGTTCTTTTTAAAGGGGCGAAAGATTTATCAGGAATTTACTTTGAATTTAACAAAAGCACTTGGAGCAAAAAATGACTCCCTCCCAGAAATCTTGAATATCATCGATTTTGAGATCAAACTCGCTCAGGTTTGTGTCATTGTAAGTCTTGTAAGAATGAGTAACATAAATAACATTTCTGTGTTTCTACCGCGGTCGTTTCTGTCGTTTCAGAAATCGTTGTATTAATTATCATCATTGTGTATAGATCATGCCAAGTGCCTCACAAGCGTATGATGACGAAAATATGTATAGGAAACTGACAGTTAAAGAGCTGGACCAATATGCTGGAAGCAACTGGGTATGCTGTCTGCATCTACTGAATAAAAAGCTATTACATTAACTATCTAAAGCTTCTTAATGTGATGCGTTTAGGTCACATATGTTTGATTGACTGTTTTTACAACACATTGCAGCGGAGGAAGAAATCTCCTATAGAGGCATAGGAGGTATGTTACATCTCAGAGGGTTTGGTCGTTGTTTGGGTATGAAAACGGTTACCAAACTCCCTCCCCCCACAAGAATTCCGAGAGGCACTTCTCCGGGAATGCTGTTTTTGTTGACTCTCTATCAGATATTTGAAAGTATACCCGTGTGATTTCACGCCGGACATGTCTAGAAAGACACAGGTGTTTTATCGTCCGCTGAGAAAGATATTGAATTTACAATAACTTTTTTGCTTTTTTCATAGATGAAGTGGAAAGTATTCTTTGAGCAGCTTTTGTTGCCTGTGACTGGCAAACATGTCACTGAAGAAGAACATGTTGTGGTTTATGGAGTAGACTACTTAAAAAACATCACCAACCTCCTTGATGGAACACCAAACAGGTGAAAAGTAACATGATGTGATGATCTATAGACAGGCAGGGCTTTAATCAATCGTGTTCGCCCTGTATCATTATTGGGCCTGTTGTCTGTAAAACTTGAATCACGATGGTCATTTTGCGTGATTTCTTCCACCGCTGGAGCGTTAATTTTTTTAAAATTGAAAGAAAATCGTTATGATATGCTATGTCAGGTATAACTAGGCGTGACTTGCTCTTCTTTTTACCTCCTTTAAAGAACCATTGCTAACTACATGGTGTGGCGATTGGTAGACTCCGTATATTTACGCCTGGGAGACGAATTTGAAGAGATTTTGGAGAACTTTTTTATAACTTTAGAGGGCTACTGGATACCAATCTCGCGAGATGAGTTGTGCGTTCAACTGATGAGAGAAAAATACTTTGCTGCACCACTCTCCAGAATATATGTGGACAGTCTCTTCAATGGGAACAGCAAGAAAGTTGTAAGCACAAAAGCTAGAATTTTGGGGGAAGCAGTCAATCTTATGAAGAGAACCTAGCGCATAGTGGACTCGCTATCCCTAGCGCATAGCTTACGAATTGGCGAAACCTCAGGCAATGCTAACAACAAAAATTATTTTAGAGACGACGCCCATTCGGACGAGCATTGTACACGATCGCGGACAGCTTCATTGTAAGATCATGATAGAAAAAAATAGATGATGAAAATTGAGGTTTTTTTCGATAAACTGGACCACTTCGTTTCAATTTAAAATGTCATAGTTCCGTTCAATACACCTTTTCCAGGTCAGACCTCATTAATCATTTAAGTAAATTGGCGAGGCGGTTCGCATTTCTGATATGATAACTATTTTAGGACAAAGTACAGCAAATTTTATATCATTAATTTGTTCGCAGCCCAACTCATTCTGGAATTCCTTAAGCCTGGAAACGCTGCTTCTCAGTTACTTGTATTCCCCCCCTCCCCCTGCAAGAACTATTATCGTTGTGCCTTCCTAGGAAACGAGGAAAGCTCCTCTTTACCTGCTAACTTAACGAATCATATGAAACTATTTCAGGCAAAAGAACTGGTGGATGATATCAGGGAAGCGTTCGAACAGAACATATTGGAACTTGATTGGATGGATGAAAAAACAAAATCTCTCGCCATACAGAAGGTAACCACAGATGATTGCTTTCGGCTTCATGTGAAGAGTGTCCTTTTTAACAATATCTCTTATTTCTCAAAAGATGGTTGATGTCTAGGGAAGATGCAATTTCGTGTCAAGTACATATGAGCTGCTAAGATATCTTGGTTACTTTAAAAAAATCCATAACAAATATGTTGAAGAGAGAGGGAGGCATGAGGGTAAGCGTCTCGCCCGGCATCATAACTCTACTCAATGACTACAACCAGCACCTAAAATTGGATATTTAACCCTGACTGATTGCAGTCAGTATACCCTTAGACAATTGCGCCTTCCATGAGCAAAGAAGATGCGTTAGCGATTGCAACTAGAACCACATTAGCATTAAGAATAGCCCTCAGTTTAAAATTATATGAGTAAAATATATGTCTTGAGCAATTTCGATTCTTATTTATCATATGACTGCTTTGACTTTGACAGGCGAAAATGATGGCAGAGAACATTGGCTTTCCAGATTACATTGTGGATGACAAGCTTTTAGATGAGGAGTACAAGAATGTAATTAAAAGAATGATTCGATTAGAGCTCAGAGAATTATTACTTCGGGGAAAGTACCTCACACAAGCTCTTTCTTAATCGGCATTCCCTCATAGAAGCAGCTCTGAGTAGTAAAACTGATAGCATGGGCGTGTTTAACATGAGCGCGTTTAACATGTGCCTTAAGCTCGAGAGACTGAGTGACCATTCCCCGCGTTTTGACCTTAAGTTTGAAGTTATCTCATCTCATCTCATCTC